TGCTTGACGCATCTAATGTCTCCGAAAATCCCTTTTTAACCCCTGCGGAGCATGCAACTGTAAATTTTGAACGTCGTCGACGTGATTTGAACATCACTGATGAAGATGTTCAATCAGTTTGTGGACCAGGCTACTCATTGTCAAATATTCCGGAAAGTGCCCGCCCTTTCATTATAAAGCATGCTATCAAGAGACAGAAATCCCGATATGTATTGCACGAGAGATGGAAGCGGAGACAATTTTACACAGATGAAGAAGAAGGAGCATCACCACCTGCTGATTGGAACATCGAGGAAGACCTTCCTACAGTTGGCGCTGATGGAGAAACCTCCAAGTCTCAATTTAATCAACGACCGACTATTCATTCTCGCTCATCCTCTAAGGTAAGATTTGCGGAGGATATTGACGACTTTGATACACGCTCAAATCCTTCGACATCTTCGCGGAGCGTCCCTGAACGTTGGGGTGGAATAGAAATACCTGATGCAGAAAAAGACGTGGGAAAGGAGATCTTGTACCAAGTCTCGCAACAAGCCTACAATGAAATACTCGATCCATTATTCCTAGCTAAAGAAGATTTGGCGGTGGCCGTCTTGGAGACAAAGAAAGAACGCGACAAATATCGACATCTTTTCAGCACTGTTGACTTTGTGAGGTGGGCTACGGCTAAGAAAGTGGAAGAAGATAAAGTAGTTGCTAGCGAGACCGTTCGCCCGGGTGATGATGCTGTTGGAGGAACGAATAACAATCCACGGCCTGTATGGCCTACTATTCCTGAGGTAGAAGTCGAGGATATACGCTTAAGACAGCTAGATGAACTTCTAGAAGCTACGGGTTACGAAGTGCAGGAGTCTAGTGATGCCAATGACACAACCAATGAAATAATCGTTCCTGACTTGGAGCTATCAGGTCTTTCACATCGTGAATTTGACCTTGATATGGCAGTGCTCGAATTCCAACATGCTCCTTATTACAAGGACGATCCTCTGAGGGCATGGAAATATTATGTTGATAAACACAACCTCAATCTTTACCAACAACGTGATTTCTTTCACGCTTTGCAGCCTCTCTTACCACCAACTCTTCTGTTCTATATCGACGTACACCTTAAGGAGAAAGAAGAAGAGCGTGATGAGGTTTCCAGTTTTACTAGCACTCAATCGTCTGAGCATAGAGATCCTACACTCCCTCAATTTCGACCAAATTCTGTTACAGATGATGTGTTTTCTGGTAGATCTGTTGGAGAACACCAGTCAATCTCAGAATTCTCAGATTCTGAACCTCCAGCTGCAGATTCTTCCAACCCCAAGAAACAGCGTTCCCAGAAGGAAGATAAGAGACCAAGTGATGAGGTATTATACGAGTTGTGGAAGATTGAAAATGTGGAGCAGGAGGGCAAGGAGAGAGGTGGATTGGGAAAGATAAACTTCGAGGAGTTTGAACAGTGTGTTAAAAAGGAGGCGGCTAATGGCAAGGGTAATGCGATGGACTATTTGGGAAGCTGGATTGAGTTCTGCATCCCTTAGGTCCTTCGTTGTAATCCTAGCCCTAATGTTTCTTTTACAGAATACTCCGTCATTACGGTTGGCTAATAGTAAAGAGAATGGGCAAAGATGGTGAGGCAGTCATTTATTATGAAGATGATTCGATTGAGGATGACGATTCGATTGAGGCAGCCATTGATGACGAAGATGACTCGATTTAGGATGACGATTCGATTGAGGGAGTCGGTGATGATATCAGTGTTGGCAATGACAATATTGATGCCAGTAACCTTCAGGTAAGTGTTGTTGAGGATGCGTGGATTGGGCAAGAGCAAGAGATCCTCTCTAGTGAATAGGATTCAGACAGTACAAATGGGGACTATCGATCGAGAGATTAATTATCATTCTGACATGGATATGAAAAAACAGGCAGATGATGGTGCCGTATTTTCATAGAGAGACGAGGGCAATGAAGTGGATGAATTTATGTATGAATATGCCAAAATTATGACAACGGGCGAAAGAACATCGATATATTTTGAATTGTCTTATTTTGTACTTTGTGTGTGCATGAAATTCTGTGTGGATAAAGCTTCACCGGTGCAGGGGATGCTTTGTGTGTTGAGATCCCGACACTTATAAGCCACTGGCTATCTCAGAAAAGCTTCATCTTTATACGTGCTAAAGATAGGACTATTGTTGAACTTTTAGATGTGTAATGACTCCTCAATCCCCTTGGAGATCTCCATGATCTTCTCTTTCCCCAACTTCAAGTCCAACCTCGCCGTCGCGATACCCCACTCATCCTCATATATACCATTTCCGTCTCCGTTCCCACGGCCATCCCCATCAATAACAAAATGTCCTACAATTTCCGTGGAAATTGTCTCTCTTATCTCACTGTTCTCTTTCATGCTCGCCACCTGACTTGCCAATAATCTCAACAATTTTTTTCTTCGAACTTCACTATTTGGGCAGGAACCTGCAGGGAGAATATGACAGGACCATCTTTTCCTACTGGCAATATCAATTTTACAACTGATAAAGATCACACATCCAAACTCATTATTACCTAGCGCTAATAACCCACTCCAACCATCTATGGCAGGACAATTCAGTCTAAGTACACTCCTAGTTGCATCGAATAGCTAATAGAAAGTTTATTGGTACATCAAAAACACTAAGTTACATCACGTATTGCACATGCGTCGCTCACCGGGAATAGTCGAAGAATATCCAAAAAATCACAACTATATTTTACAATACTAAATTTCAAAATCCGATTTCTATTTTTAACTAAACTGCCTGATCTATCAACTAAAACTAAACCCATAAACGAAATCAAAACGCCCCAAAAATGCAATAACAAGTACCCGCAAGATGAGCCCAAGATCTTTAGCTCATGTAAACTACGTTCATCTCCATGCAATATCAAATCTGTCAAAGCATACCCTAACGCCGCTCGCTAACGCTACCGCTTGCTACCACCATATTGGCTACCGTAGTTACTCAGGGATGGTGCTGGCTTACTTGAAGCCGACGCCGATTGCGTTGCCCATCGAGGCTCCCTTATCTCATAAATCGGCTCCAAACCTTGAGAGCGCCCAGTAGATTCGGGGTATCCACCGCGTGAAGACGCAGGTCTCCCCATCAACCTTGAGGCTTCGGAGCCCGTTATGGTTTTAACGCCCGAATCAGAACTTTCAAATGGCCAATCTCCGGTCGAGCCATTGCCGATACGTCCGTTGCCGATACGTAGCGGTTTGGCGGTACTTTCAGAACCATACGAAGTTCCCGATACGGACCCCACTTCTTCAATTCGTGGACGGCTCGTGAGTTGAGGTTGCGGGAGGGAGGGAGCGCGGTATCGTGCATCGCTAGGGTGAGGTATGTAGCCAGGTCGAGGCGAATTATGATGTTTTCCACTACTAGATGAGATGTAAGTTGAAGTGCCTTGTTCATGATCATGAATTGCTACATTAGCATCGCCACTGATAGCAATCATTGTCGTGGAAGTGTAATGCCTCCGGGGACTTCTATCGCGGTCCCTACGGTCTGCTGTTGATCGCCTGCCATGGGAATCTCTACTGCTAGGAACCTCACTTTTTGAATGCCTGCTGTCCCGTGTGTCCTTTGTTCTACTTGTCGTCCGTGAGTCCCGCGAGTCCCGTGTCGCCTTAGAAGCATGACTCTTCACACTTGGAGTATAACTCTTTTCACTTGGAGCCTGGTATCGAGATAGTTCTGCAGCCGCCGCCGCCACGCGATCTTTCGGCACACGAGCAATTGTTTTATCAACGTAATCAGAGATTTTATCACTCTTCTCTGTGTCACCTAAGGATCCTTGTTTCTGCTTCATTTTTGCACGAAACTTTTCAACAGCAGCTTCGCGTTCCTCCCAATCATCTATGTCGTAAAGCTGGTCCCTCCTAGCTACCTCTTTGCCCACGACAGTGGCGCTCTTATGGCCTCTTGAACTAAGGCTCGTAATACTGGGAGCTACAGACGCTGCAGACCTAGGAGCGTTTGGATCGACGAAACTAAGACCCGCAGATTTAGAAGGGGGTGGTCCCCTTCGAGATTCTTTTGCTGTGGATGCTTCAGAAGGAACTTTTGTACTTCTTGACGTGGTGGCATGAGAACTGGCGTATTGCGATGATGTCCCAGTTTCACTCTTTCTAACACGTCGTTCACGTTTACGTTCATCGTCACTCTCATATACGGTGGAAAGAGTTTTGGTATCCCGCCTCTTATCGCGCTTTTTATCCCGATTTTTATCCTCTGGCATGCTGGATATGTAAAGACACAGAGAATGATGAAGAAATGTAATTTGAAACTTAGTGAAGATATCCCCACCATGCACATCCCCTCTCCCATTCATATATGCCTTCAACAATCGAAATATGGGTACCCAAAAGTGTTTAAATTCTCATGGTTCGGCCACTCCGTATTCACGTCAATCAAGTCTCTATCAAAACATGACTAGACCAATGGACCCCTAAATTCATGCACCTCAACAAAACGGTCAATTTCCAAGCACAAGACCAGATTATAGTTGCGTAGATACATCAACAAGAGGCCGATGGCTGTGACATGTGGAGTAATATATCAAATAGTAAGAACTGTATAAGAACTACCTATCAGCGTTAGTTAACAGTTACAAACCGCCACAGCAGGCCATCTCTACGTAAGCGAAATGAGTTAAAGAAGTCCTTTGAAAGGATACTCAATTCCCGCCCCTTATTTCGTTTACGTAGAGGCCAGCTCGAGGCCAGCTCGATTGGTCGGTGCACCCGGTGAAAACCCAATGACCTACCCTATTTGATATAAAATTAGCGCTAAGCGCCCGTTCATCATGGCCCCAACATCATCAGGCCAGTCTGGCTCAGGCCCCATTTTCATCGGGAAATGAGATTCACGCGAAACGTTCCAACCTATGCTCCTAAATGTTTAAATACATGTGTATATAACTGAAGAGGAATCAAGGAACGCCATCATATTTGAAAGTTCAATTCGTTTTGTGATGGATTGTTGGATTTTTTTGATAAATAATGCTTGAACAGCTCATATGGTTGAATGCGGTTGACAGTGTGAGAAGTGGGTATCTTTTATTCATTGACATACTCGTACATAAACAACACTTATACAGCAATAGCATCTTCGCATCTCCTACAAAGCTCATCCTCTACTGGAGCTACATACCTCCAACATCTAGGGCACTTTTTGTCCTTAGGAGGTAGAACCCATACTTTTCCTGCGTCATCCGGGTTATGCCATCCTGGTGGATTCAACTTCGCGGAAAATTTCCAATCACCTCTATTAACATCGCTACCGAACTCCACGGATGATACAACAAAGATACTTTCTAGCTCATCTGCATAGCGCTTGAATATCTCCTGGCCTTTTGATGGCATATCTATCAACACGGATGATTCTAAAGAAGACCCGATGATCTTTTCAGAGCGAGCCTCTTCTTGTGCGCTCTTGATGGCAATCTGTGCGTTTAATAACCATGGAATATCTTGCTCAATCAATGAACATTCTTCGGCAGAGAGCCGACTCGAAGAGATGATAGGATCAAGAAATTCACGATGAAATGGATGAACTGGGTTTTCCGCAGCCATCCAGGCAGGCAGATGGTTCCAAACCTCTTCAACAAGGCAAGGAGTGATTGGAGTTAACATTTTCAGAAGACCATGGAATATCTCTTCCAGGACACCTCCTCCGTCACCGCAGTAAAGCCTATCCTTACTAGCTTCAAGGTAAAATGCGGAAAGGTCTGTGTGAATCCATCGATTGATTGCACTTACAGCTTTGTTAAACTCGTATGAATCATAAGCCGACTCGACTTCAGCCATGACTGTTCGCAATTGTACCAAAGCTATTTTGTCCAGTTTGGTCAATGGTGAAGTCCTCGCACTCTGATGCATTGACCCGAGCAACATTTTGAAGGTGATTCGATACTTTAGTAAAGCGGAGTTTACAGTCGCAAGAACTGGTTGACCAATGACAAGGTCCTTAGTATAATCGCTGCTGGCGACCCATAAGCGTAATGCATCAGCTCCCAGTCCTTGAGAAATGTTACCGCCCTTCTTCTTTATCTTCACAGGCGGAAGAAGGGAACCATCCATTATTTGGCTTGGTGCTATTGTATTCCCAATTGATTTAGACATTTTTTTGCCATTTTGATCAAGAGTAAATCCGTGTGTTATCAATGTTTTGAAAGGTGCCTCTGAACTATCAGCAACAGCGGTGTGAGTTAATAGACTTGATTGAAACCACCCTCTGTGTTGATCAGTGCCTTCAGAGTAGACATCAGCACGTTGGTCGGTCTGCGACCAACTAGTGCCACTGTCAAACCAAACATCCATAGTATCTTTGCCTCGTCGATATGTACCGTTCATTCCGGCGGGAATCCATGCCGGATCGTTCTCTGCATCTGACCACCATGCATCAATGCCTCGTTCATCGATAACAGATAGAATATGTGCAACACTTGCATCAGTTAACAAGGCTGTGCCAGTTTCGTCATACAGTGCAGGTATTGGAACCCCCCAAGCTCGTTGTCTCGAAATACACCATTCACTCCTAGACTTGATGAAGCTTTCTAATCTTTGCTTTCCGGTTTGAGGGATGAATGACACATCGTTTAACCTTTCTAGAGCTACACTCTTGACATCTCCAACATCTGCAAACCACTGTTCTGTGGCTCTGACAATGACTGGAAGCTTTGTTCGCCAATCGTATGGATACTTATGCTTGTATTTTGATATGAATAGCACTTGATCTCCAAGAAGTTTCAGAACCTCCATATTGCCATCATTTAAAACCGACTTACCTGACAAAGCACTTGGATCGTCAGGAAGAGCAGCATCGGTAAAGCAGCCAAGATCATTCACAGGAGCAACAGCTTCTATACCAAGACGAGTGCAAACCTCATAATCATCCATACCATGGCCAGGGGCGCAATGAACCAGTCCAGTGCCAGAATCAGCCGATACGAAATCGGCATGAATCAAGGGTTGAACATCAGAGTTTTGGCCACGAAGTTGATTGGTATACGTCAGAGTTTTGAGGACAGAGTTAGGTATATTTCGTTGAACAATCTCGACGGCTTTATCTTTGAAACATGACTCTTGTAGTGCAGAGATTCTAGAATCGGCAATGATCAGGTGTTCGTCGTCACATTTGACAATAGAATAAGTCAGATCTTGATGAAATGCAATGGCTCTATTTGCGGGAAGGGTCCACGGTGTAGTAGTCCATATCAATGCCGAAAGTTTATTCAAATTGGGGATAATGTCCTTTAGTTCGTTGGAAATGTTCGTGATAGGAAATTTGATATAAGCAGACGTCGAAATATGTTCGTTGTTGTACTCGAGCTCCGCTTCCGCAAGAGCTGTCCGTGATGAAGGTGACCAATATACCGGTTTGTAACGTCGAAAAATGAGGCCTTTCTTGACCATTTCCTGAAAAACTGCAAGTTGTTTGGTTTCGAATGTCTTGTCCATCGTCTTCCAGGCCTTATCCCAATCTGCCATAACTCCCCATTCCCGGAAGCCTTTCATATGTTCTTTTACGGTTTTGCTTGCTAGGCTCCGAGCAGCTTTTCGAATTCCAATGGCATCCAATACCCCTCCACCATCTTTATTCTTCTCGCGTTCTTGCTCAAGAGCCTTGATCTCGATCGGAAGACCATGGCAATCCCATCCTGGAACCCACACAACTCGGCGACCCTGTTGAAGCTTGGTTCGACAAATAATATCCTTCAAGAGTTTATTTACAGCATGTCCCACATGAAGAGGTCCGTTGGCGTATGGAGGACCATCATGAAGAACAAACGGCTTCTTAGAAGATCTTTCATGGCTTTGCCATTTGTAAAGATGATCGGAGCATCGTTGAAGGTATTTTGGTTGCTCTGCAGGGAGAGGTCGAGGACTGATGTTGTTATAGTCAATTGGTGGTTCGAAAAAATAATTAACAATTGACTAGCCAAACCAAAGATTTGCTTACGGAAAAGAAGATTTAGGTAGTCTTAAAGTCGAAGACCATGATTTGACAGAAGGGCGAATTGACATCTTCGCTTGTCCATGGCCTCTTTTCCTTTGAGAGTTTCTGAATTGAGCTTTGCTATGGAGAGCGAGCTGGAAAGTTGAAACTGGATAAGTCTAGAATTCGAGCCTAATATACAAGGCTGATATTTTTGGACCAACCCTCCTCGAGATCTCTCCAAGAGTCTCACATATTCCATTCTCAGTAAAGGATTCATAAAGTGCGTTAGAAATCTCATTTCCGTCTCTCTGGCTCTATCAGTTGAGGGGAAAAGCTATTGGACATGTTTATTCACGGGCTTCATCATTTCTACCGTCGATTTCGCAGTTCAATTCCAAAAGGATACCAACAGAATCTGCCTTTGCTGTGTACATATTAGACAATATTTTGTATTGCATATACTCTTTCGTTTTTCGAGTATCACTCAATAATTCCTATCGAGAATAGTTCCTGGGCTTTATCAAAACCAAAAGAAAGTTGTTCTATTATTCCCACAATACATGGGCCCATCCTAATTCGAATAGTAGCGGAGGGATAAGTTTATAAATTCGCACTGGAGGTTGAACCTACAGAAGAATCGAGTAGAGACGCAAGGTGATTCAGATGCCATTCTCTACCTCACACCCACAAACCTCCAATTCCACTCTGTTCTCGACGTATTCCACAGTTCTTAGCATGTCAAGTATGAAGTCCGTATCGTAGAGGGCGTATAGTATTCATTTTTCTTGAATACTTGTGCACTTCCAGCAGGATTGTCATGTGATATCAAATGCAATGAAGTCCTCCCAATTTGCCATCTAAAAGTATGAGGCCAGCCATACACCCTCCAGCTAAGAGCGAATTATACCAATCGCAGAATGTTTCCTTCAGCGTGCGAGGAAGTACTGAGATTTGAACGCAACGCATGAGAACACAAGAGCTGCTAGTACTCTCCTCACACAGTCTGTTGATATCTGATAAGTAGCACATTTTCAAACTGCCTCAGGAATCTACGGGATTGATAAATCCCTCAAAGACAAAGAACTATCGAGTAGCATCATGAAGTCACACACGTCACCAGTACCTACAACTGCACAGCCGCATGGTAAGATTCATTGCCTCGATTGCCTAGCTGGAGGTATATGATAGAACCAAAACATACCTCGACCCCTACAACTGCCGCCGCTGCCCCTCGAACCAGGACCCAAGCCTGAACTCAGCTTACTTCCCGTGGCCGCCAACAATCAAAACATAGTGATGTCCATCAGATATTCGATGACAATCTCTTTTGTCACCCCTTTCCCTTTCACCGAGTGAAATCGGCTATTGGACTCTTCAACATCTGGGATGATACATGATATGAGGTAGGCACTTGTATTATCAGTCACCCATCGAATAATACTTCTCATCAAAGCTATTCATAACGGTGTTATCTGTGGAAGGGTCTCACTTAACCGCCGCACTCACACAATTTCCTTTCATTACAAGCTTTCGCCAAGCCTTTTTCATAACCCTTTTTGGGAGAAGGCAGTGCACGGCTAGTTGCCGATTAATCGGGGGGTTTTGAGGGTCGAGGGGCAAAATAAAGAATCCTGGTAGAGCTGTTAACAATGTCGTTGATCTGGTGATACATCAAATGTTGTGACGGAATGAATGAGCGTATCAAAATAGTCCCATGCTATATGTGGTATGGTTTGCTGGGGTAAACTGCAACGGCTTGTTACTTGGGGAAGATCACGACCGTGTGATTGCGTACGACATGACTGGTGGCGGAATGTATCTCTATGCGGAGAACTAATTTGTGTTCAGCTAGCTGAGTGTATTTGGACGAAAGGAATAGGAATGCCAGGACGTGGAGAGTAGTCATCATATTTGATTGGATATTCTAAGCCCTACATCTCCCTTTAGAAACGGGAAAACCATTACGGAGTGACAACGAGTCTCAAATCTTGGCTATACGGACAGGTTTCTTTGGTTCCCGTTTTACAAAGCGCCTCTTTCAAAATCTGGAACGCTGCATCACATCATTCATGATGGCTGGGGAGGCGGAAGAATAAAGGAGTAAAAGTTTGGATGTTTTCTATTTGGGAATTTACCTACGAGTGTCTAGATAGTCGATACTAGATAGAGACTGCCTGTGAACAGATGAAATGAAAGAAAGGAAAAGATAAAGATACTTATTATTGAGTCTCTCCATCAAAACACAATTTTCAATGACATCGTCTCAATGAAATCTAGGGTCCTGATTTTTTTATCTTTTTTGTTACTTTTTGGGTATCAGATTGCGTGCATAAATACCTACGTACGATTTCAATAGAAGATCTTCCGCCCCCATTGTAATCTTACAATCAACACCTACCGACCTAGGTACATGAGAGAGGTCACAATTGTACCCAGTATTGTACACCCCCAATGAGAGAGATTGTATGGAACGGTCCAATTAAACGATACGGCTCCTTCTTGAAATTTGGAAATCTAGATTTCCTCACCCATTCAATTTCATTAATCTTATCATCTATTCAAAATTTCAAATACAAATAACTGGTACACCAGAGAACATTATTACTAATATTCCAAGATCTTCTGCCGTCTTGGGCTTTTCCCGTTTCCTTCCCGAACTGGCCCATCCCATTGACTTTGCACTAAACAAGGACTTTGGGTTGACTTTGGGTTGAATTAACCTTGATTTAAGGAAAGAAAGCTACCACAGCTATCAAAGCTTACTTTGCTGGCTGCCTAGTACGGGACCTTGGAAGAGGATAGTGCTGCCGTCTCAACCTAGTTGCCCTCAAATGATCCAATCACGATAGAGGGACAAGGAAACCACGGTACAATTTACAATACTATCATACTCCACCTCGCCATCAGCCGCTGTGACGAAAGAAAATAAATACGATTCACTCATTTCCAGCCTCGATCTTCTTTCTTTCCCTTGGCCATTCACGAATTTGCCTTTTATCTTCCTCCTCTTCCTCCTCCTCGACCTCCTCCTCGACCTCCCACACCTTCTCTTCCGCCATCTTCTTTCTATCGATAATACCTCAAATACCGCAAACATGGCGGGGTCTACAATACTCACAAGTTTACTGCTGAGCTCTTCGCTTTTGAGCTCTGCAGGTGCAAACACCGTTCAAATGTCAATCGCCAAAAATCATGCCAATGAAGCAGAACAATTACAAAGGCGTCAACAATACCTCCAGCGACGAGGTATGGGAGAGGTGATGCGAGTTGCAGAAAGGGCAGATACAGTTACGGCCAATCTAGGAAATGCTGTGACTAGTGGATTGTATTATGCAAATGTTACAGTGGGGACACCGGCACAGGCACTGAGTTTACAAATCGATACGGGTAGTTCTGATGTTTGGGTGCCGAGTTCGAGTGCGAGAATATGTGAGGATACTAGAAATGGGGGATGTCCGGGTGGAAGTTGTGCGTATATCTATACTTCTAAAGTAAAGTAAATTTTATCATGAAGGCTTGCTAACATCCTTTAGTTGATTATTCTGCGTCCAAGACTTTTCTCGACGTAGACCAAGATGCTTTCAACATTTCATATGTAGATGGAACTGGATCCACTGGAGATTATTTCCAAGATACATTCTCGATTGGTGGAGCAACTGTTAAAGGTTTCACGATGGGTTTGGCTACGGATACCTCTATCTCAATTGGAATTATGGGTATTGGGTACAACAGCTCCGAAGCAAATATCCAGACTGGAAATGGGACTACGTACCCAAACTTACCGAATGTAATGGTCTCTTCAGGATTGATCAAAACAAATGCCTATAGCTTGTGGTTGGATGATTTACGTAAGTTATACCCTTCACGGAATCATTATGAGAACAGAGCTGATGTCTAGACAGAATCAAGTACTGGCTCAATATTGTTCGGCGGTATTGATACAGAGAAATATGTTGGTGATTTAGTCACAGTCAATGTCTACCCAAGTTCTCGTGGAGGATCAGTAACATCCTTTACTGTAGCTTGGACTTCTCTCTCAGTTCAATCCTCATCTGGAACTGATCAATTGACCCCTACCAATTTTGCTCGCCCAGCAATCCTCGATTCTGGAACCACCATTACCCTTCTACCTGATGACGTTGCAGCTATTGTTTTTGAAGAACTTGGAGCAACAGTCTCTCAACAACTTGGGGCGGTAGTAGTTCCATGTGCTCTAGCCAAGAAGACTGGTAGCATAAACTACGGTTTTGGGGGAGTGGGTGGTCCCACCATCAAGGTGGATGTATCACAACTCGTATTACCTCTCACTACAAGCGATGGTCGTACACCAACTTACGACAATGGTGACCCAGCTTGTCAACTCGGTATTCAAGCCGCCGGTTCAAACCCCACGCTTTTTGGTGATACGTTCCTGAGATCAGCATACGCTGTCTACGATCTCGAAAATAACAGAATTGGACTTGCCCAAACCGATTTTGACGCTACTGGATCCAATATCGTACCGTTCGCAAGCGCAGGTGCAGCTATCCCAAGTGCATCGAGTGCACCAAATGAAGAAGCTGTCACACAGACAGCTTCTGGAATTCCAAGAGTTGGTGTAACACCGACTGCAACTGGAACTGGTCAAGCAGCAACGTACAATCCCACTGCCACGGGATTGAATGCTGAGGATGGATTTACGTCTACATCATCGGCGACTAGCTCGTCGAAAAAATCTGCCGGATCAGGAGGTCCTGCTCCGTTTGAATGGGCTAGAGTTTTCGTTGGTGGTTTCGCTATAACAATGGTTGCTGTTGGGGGTGGTATCTTTACTCTTCTAGTTTGATAGACTTTTGACGATAAGAAGCGGACGCAATACATAAGCAAAATACATTGTATATTATATACTTACACAGCCTTGTGTAATTTTACGAAGCAATACGAAAGCGGATATTATATTTGGCGCAAAGAGTCTTTTTTTGGAAGCGATGGCATTGATGGATGGATATATATGCTCGAGGTGTTTATATTGAGCATAGCAGGAGAGGTATTTAGTTTAATAGGAAGATCAAATATGGAATAGAGAAATATACTCTTCAAGTATCAGTTCAAATGTAGTTGCAAAGTGAAGTCTGCTTTATTAATCGTATGAAGAGGTCTAGATCCTCATCTGCGATCACGTGTCGATAAGATAAGACGCACGCCAAGCCATCGATAATGCGTCTATCAATCAATCATCCGGAGCTCAAGCTCCAACCTTTCTCGCAACTCTTCGTAATTTATTAAAGATCTTGTAATTATCAAGAATCCCCGCGATCACATTGCACGGCATATGCACAACTATACCAAGACAACTTGCTAACCAATATCCATCATCACACAACTACTCCAAGCCCGCCTCTCCGTCATCTTTCCCAACAAAACGCAACTGCACGCAAACGGGAGAGTCAAGTATACATCCATCCATCATGTCTACAAATGAACCCGATTCTCTTGATCCTCAACCCTCTCGAGCTCAGGATCACACACTTCGTATCTCCACTTCTCCTCGAAACATTTCGATATCTAGTTCTCCACAGAATCCTCAGTATCTGTCAAATTCTCCGCAGGAAGCTAGATATTCTGTTTCGCCAAGAGAGGCTCGACATCTTTCTGCTGAAGACCATCGATCATCTGCTTCATCTACTGCTGAAGAGACTAGTTCTCTTAGAAATACCCGAAATATCTCTCCCGATAACCAACGTCGGCTCGTTTCACCTACTGCAGAAGAATTATACACATATGGAGAACCATTCCCCGAGATGCCAGAATATCCTCCGCATGTCGCAGATCCTTTAGTACATATTCAACAACCATCTGACTCACAAGATGGCTCGCAGATGCCTAGAGAAGAAGTTACTTCTTTCGCTGGATACTTCACATTGATTACAGATTCGACTATGGGAGTTGAGGATGGAGATGGAAGTCCGAAAACGCCAACGACACACCATCCGTGTAAGATCCATTATATATTTTCGGATGATGAGGATTGTGAGGAATTGAAAGAGGCTTGTTTGAGAAGTTTACCGGATGCGTCAAACACAGATACTTCAAATAGTAATTCCATGACCAACAAGAGTTCTGGGGAATTAAGAACCTCGGACTCGAGCTCAAGCTCAAAATCAATAGTAGCAACGAAGAAGGAAAACAAGGATCCACAGGTGAAACAGAGAGAGGAAAGAGTTGTCATTATCGATATGAACGAAACGGGAGATAGAGTAGTCAGAGCACAAAGTCTGAGTGACAAATGGCAGGTTATGGGATGTGAGATTGGGAAAGCACCGATTTTTGAAAGTGTGGGTGAGGAGGGCGGAGAGAAGAAGGAGAAGGGAGGTGGATTGATGTTGAGGATTGATGGGGTGGGAATACCCGTTCATAAAGGGGACAAGGAGTTGAGTGGCAGTCGGGAGAAGGGGAAAGGAAAGGAAATCAACGAGATGAATGAAAAAGAGATTGCGAATTTGGATTTGGACAAAATACTTGAGGGATTCGATAAACGGATGGACATTCTACGTAAGGTTATTGGTGGTGTGGGTTGGGATATGGGAGAGACGGGTTTGAACAACTTTGATGGAGAAGAAGCAGATGAAGAACGAGACGAAGAACGAGATATGGCGATAGCTGGATTGCAGTCAGCGGAAGAAGAGCAGAGAGAGCGGGAGGTAGATGGAGAAGCATTTGAAGCTTCTTGATATCTAAGACCGGATACGAATGGATTTTTACTTTGGGCGGGCGGAAAGGTTTTGGGACAGGTGGAGTTGCATATATTAACTAATACGTACATTTACGACATGGTAACACAATGACACGGTACAGCACGGCATAGCATGATACGGATTATCATAGGCGTATATCATAGGCGCAATATCATATTAATATTTCATGGTAAATAGACATGACATTAAGGTTTAAGCGAGGCGGGATCGGGAGGACATGGAGCGAGGTATCAGATTAGTATGTTAGGTATGGGAATTGACGGACACGACGGTTGGTTTAGCTCTTAATGTTTGTTCTGGAAGGAAAGGTTTAAGCGGTACTCATAGCGGAAATGGACTGAGATAATTTATATTGGTTAATTTCGTGCATGGATTACTTTGGTTTGAATCATTATACCTCGATTGTAATTATGGGTGATGCGATGTGATATGATGGAATCCCGTGAGTATGATACATTGTTGTGTTTAGAGGGAAGTAACATGAGATGAGATGAGATGAGACGAGATGAAGTGGTAAGTGATTTGTTAAGTACATATATAAGTGGAAATCATCAAAGTACCTAATAAGATGATGGTGGGTTTTAAGTAAGTAAGTGGTAGGTTCTGGAGAGAATGCATATCGGAAGGAGGTGGGTAGGTGGGTGGGTGGGAGGGGAGGTTAGATGGGGATGTATTTTTATCTATCTACGTACCTAGGTGTATGTGGAGTGGGAGTGGGAGTGGGACTTGGAGGTTGATATTAGGAGGGATGGGAATGGGAGAGTGGGAGTGAGAGTGGGAGTGAGAGTGAGAGTGAAAGGGGGAGTGGGACTTGGATCTAGATTTGGGGTGGACATGGGGGAGATTGGGAAGGGGATGGTAAGTCGAAGAGGGTAATACTGATGGTAGTGCTACCGTGGTTGAAAGTGGAATGAAGGGTGTGGATAATGGTTGAAGGAGGATAATTGGATAGAGATGAGGGTTTTATAAAGAAAAAGTAAAGGGGTGGGATGAGATGGGATGAAATATCATGAGACGAATACAATACATCGTCTAACCAAAAATCCAACAACAACAACAACCGTAAAAATGAAGATAAGTAACAAACCAACGAAACAGATCACTCAAAAAATGAATTGAAAAAAGAAAAGGCGATGAGATAGCAATGAGATGAAGAGAATTGTAGATATAGGAGGATCATGGAGGTATACCTATACATACCTAGGTAGGTAATACAAATTCCTATCTCTTCCTCACATCTCGCATCCATCCACCCCCCTTTTTTTAATACATTTGATAGTGAATGTGACATCGAAAATAACCTTGGAAGGGACTATTAACAGTCAGATAACCGAGGGGATTCAGATGGGTGAATTAATTCGGATTAACCGAGGGGGTGTGTGAGTGAATACGCTGTATGTGCTGTAGATAGATGATTAGCGAGTAGCGAGGAGTGAACATCTACTCGGTGTCCAGGTAAACAGCCAGCTTATCCAATGTTTCGAGTTAAGAGATAAAAAGAGAAGAGGGGGGTGAAGACTTGAGAATGGAAAGTGAGTAAATGGAATGATTGGGTGGAGGGATGAAGTAAAGAAATATAGAGGGAGGTGTATAAACATGTGAGATATAATGTGTGAGATACAACAGAAATGTAAAAGTTGAAGAACTGTATAGGTAGATTATGTGAAGAGTAGGAAAGTATTAGATGGACGAGATGAGATGAGATGAAGCAATGCAATGCAATGCAATGCAATGCAATGAATCCGTAAGTCTAAGAACGAGTACGAGTGAAACAAGATGATCAAAGCCTAGGCAAAAAAAACACAACAACTTGAAACACAAAAAACTAAACTCACAAGTAGGGCCTCTCATCCAACACCAAAACAGCAGATACAATACCAAGCTATTCATCTCTCGAGGACACAAACCCACAAAACAAGCATAACCAAACTTCAGATAAATTTCAGTTAAGATTCATTACAAAACGCTACCGTATATTAAAAGCAACACTACAATATTCTATATAAACATCAATCCCACCCTCTCCTCTCAAAACTAAGGAAACGGAGAACTCCCCAACCCCTATATCAAACGAAGCGAATGAACGCAACATGATGGTTGTTGCAACTAGAGAAAAGTAAAGTAAAGTATGGTATATAATTTTTCCTCCCATATGAACCTATTATTCTTACACAAAGAAATGTTTTGTATCGAGGCACGTCTCATCTCAACGTGCTTGTGTTAGAAAGGACAATTTTCCCCTTTCCTACTCTTCTTCAGTCCTTGAACTGGAAAGTCATCATATACGCCCAAATCTTATTTATGCACAGCTCATTTGATATGAGTTCAGTACCACATGCATATTCGCAGAAAAGACAAAAGAAAATCGAAACATCAAGAGCGCAACTGGGCCTGCCATATACAAACATCATTTCCCTCTCATTCGAAAATTCATCCCACTCATGCGATGAATTTCTTCCACTTTCTAACCACAGGTGTGAAGTCCGCACCTGGAACAACTGCCTTTTCTTCACTCCAATCCTTGCCTGCAACCACCATTCTTGATTCTACGAAGCTCGCTCCTGGTACGACAAGTCTATCTGATGTAGTGAAGTCGGTACCTGGAATAACCGCTCTCTTGGCAGCAGGTTTGGTATTGTCGTTTGATGTGTTACTGGTGAAGTGTACAGCTAAGACGATTGCGATAATGGCAACAATGATGACTGTAAAATGTTACGTTAGTGATTGGAAGATTAAAGTAAGGGATGGGAGGAGATGCAAGGGATACATACCAACAAGACCTAAGCAATACCACTTCTTTCTATTTCTTGATCTCGCACTGACAATTGCCGTATCAATTTGTTGAACTCCCTTATCCATATTCTCGACAACTTCTTCGCCCTTCATTTCAATGTTGACCACAGCAGCTTCTTGTTGTACAACCAGGTTCTCCATCTGTGAGAACAGTTCTGCGATTTGTATAATATCTTGCTCAATCTTCTTGATAGCAGCGTTTCGATCTCTGACAGCATTCAAAGTCGTATTGGCTTGCCCCTGTCTGTTGCTTGTCATCAAAGCTTGTTGAAACATTTGTTGGGGCTCTGAATCCGGTACAGCAGCAGCAACCTCCTCGTCGGTGGCGTCTGCGTTGACAATACGATATTCTCTTCTCATTTGATCACGAACTGCATTCTTAATCAGTTGCTCTTTCGCGTTGAATTCTTCCATGGTCTTCTTGAGTTTGCGTTGCACTCTGCCGATTTGTTTGGTATTCATGTCGCTCCCAGCATCTGGCATGAGTTTGGTTTTTCGAAGCTCTTCGATGATATCTCGCTGAGACGCCATGGTTTGGGCTGAAATATCCTCGAGGTCTCTGGTGATACCGCCTTGATCAACCTCCCTATTGATTCGACCACGTAGTGCTTCCAGTGCTCCAATACCTCGCGCAGTATTGTCGATTTCAACGTCGATTTGGCGACATCGGTTGAGAATAGCATTGGGATCATATTGTTCTCCAGGCTGACTTCCGTTCTGTGCTAAGGATGCCATCTCAACATTTTGTCCTACTCTGATGTTAATGGGATGATAGTCGTTGTGTGATCAGGAATGCTCACCACCATAAGAGTCTCGTCCCATGGCTGCTCCATTGTCGTATTGAGGCGATTGAGGATAGCCTGGTGAATTTTGTTGAGCATACGGGTTTTGACCACCGCCGTAATTATTTCTGCATGATTCTGGTTAGTATTAGGATCTAAGTGTGTCCATCGTCGCAAGTTCGCAAATCCAGTCGTGAATTGTTTCTGGTCGTTGATAGGGGATGATGGAGTGGAAGGTGAATAACTAACCCGTACTGTGCCATGATTATTAGTAAATTGCTTCCAGAGTAATTTTATTATTTGATCTTTTCTTCCAAGAACTTTTCAATTGAAATGTATATCACAAATGAAGAGATCGCAGAATGAGAGGTCTCTTGTCGTGGGATTGAAACCTCGAGGATACGAAAGTGAAACTATGGACTTACACTCATTTTACAACACGCTTCGACCCCTAAACACGACCCGGCTTCAAGTTTGGCGAAAGGAATCTACCTAGTAATCTGCCACAATTTCCCAAACTCTGGTGCAATTACTCGTTTCGTATTATGGAAGATCGTGGGGGAACTTTGATGGTTTTGTTTTATATACGAGTAATTAATTTACAACCAAAAATGAAGAGGAAAAGAATAAAATCTACGGCAATTTAGTCTTTGGGGGTGAAGTGAAGATTAATATTAAGTGAAAGTATACCAAAGGAAAAAACCCGTTTGTTTGAGGATGATTTCTTCCACTGGGCTGATCTACTGCGCCAAAGACTAATATGAAATTAGGTTTAGTAAATTGTGTTTCCAAGCAGATTAGCTCAGGAACATCCTTCGTTAGTTGCATGGAAAAGGATGAAAGCTTGGTATAATTGGTTCGCTCGTAATCTTCAAGGAACAATACATCCCAAACCAAAGTTGAGCCACACATGGTGGATCGATCGAGGTCGAATGATAGGTCAATGTATTGCTCCGCCAGTCAATCTTTGAGTCTGCTGTACCTAGCTAGCTATTATTAGATTGCATAAAACCTTGCCTCCCGTATACCTACGAAATACTTCTTGTACGTGAACTTCGCCAACGCACCGGGAACGATGTGATGACTGCATTTATACGGACACAGAGTGGCTTGGCCCCCGAAGATATACACGCCTCTTTGCTATCCAAATAATGTGGTATTCAGATATACCGACATGGATCCGGCGACGATCATTTTGTCAAATCTAGACACAGACGATACATACCTAACCATTCCTCAAGCATTGACGAATGCTACCTATCTGCCGCAGCTTGGGTCGATTCATGCATAGCCATTGGTTACAGGAAGTCCACCCCCACCATCACCAAACCCATACCACCCGCGTTTCATACAAGCCAAATATCTATCATCGCGTCCATACAAACAATTCGGATTGCTATCAATGGCTAAGAGAGGTGCATGATTAATGCATATCCGCATCTGTTTCGAGGAAACGATTTCAGCGCCGCATGGGGTATCAATCTAAATCTAGACTCTATAGAGATCCAAGTCAATTAAATGACTAAACTGCACATTATGTTGTACCATGGCTAACAAGTAAATTTGCATCTATGAATCGTAGATAATCGTTGGATACTATGTGCTTATTTCTTATCAACAAGATTCCACGATAAACAAGTAGCACACATCCCCTGCATTTTCGTAGACAGTTACTGGTTCCATCAAGCGGACTAGTCTTTCATCATTAATTCCAAGTTATGTTTGTTCCCGACTTGCAGAACTCTTTCTGTTGAGAGGCTGTAACCTAATACCACCGCCTCTTTCAACGAGCAAATCAACTATGGTCTTCTTGTCCGCCGAATTCCCTATCCCGTGCTCAGCAGCCTCCAAAGCACTGCCCCAGAAACCACAGGCCTCATCTCTGAGGCCCAATTCTAGTAGTGTTTTAACTATTTCTACTGCTCCCTGATATGCAGCAGTTTGGAGCGTAGTGCCAAACTTACCTCCTTTCAGAAAGGGGTCTGCTCCTCGGTTCAATAAGTATGTAAAAGCCTGGCTTCCGCTAAGTATGGCGGCCTGGAGAGCATTGCCAAATCCTCCGCCGGTCTTGTTGATGTCAACACCGTGATCTAGACATATCGCCATAACTTCCAGGTTTCCCTCTCTTGCAGCAGCCTGAAGAACATTTTCGTATCGCCCCCCCAAAGCATTGATATTGGCCCCGTGATTGTGTATGAGTTCAAATATTACCTTGTCTTTAACCGCAAAATGGAGAGCAATCCGGTCTGCTCCTTCATCACTAACATCAGCTCCAGCGTCGAGCAGGATTTTGACGATTTCAGTATGACCTCCCTCAGCGGCTGCTTCCAGTGGAGTATTTAGCCCTGGTAGCTCATCCGAATACATTTTGGCTCCGGCTCTAAGGAGAAGCCTCACAGTAGATTTGTGTCCATGATAACAAGCATTTGTGAGAGCACTTCCATAGAGTCCATCCGAAGAATCGATTGAAGCACCGTGTTCAATGAACAGCTGTACTAGTCTGTCATGACCACTAGCAGCTGCTGCCTGAAGCACTCCTCCTGCTGTTCCACCCGAAATGTTCACATCTGCACCTTTTTCTAGTAACAAATGTATGATTTCAAGCATATGTGGTTCGAGAGGCCGCCCATGCCTGTTGACAGCGGCTTGCAAAGCAGATCCATCTTGTCCGCCTTGGGCATTGACATCAGCGCCCTTAGAGAGGAGATAACGTATGAACTCGATATTTGGATGAATATGCTGAGCATTGACTGCACTTTGGAGTGGATTACCGTAGCGCCCTCCAGAGGTGTTGATCGAAATTCCTCTTTGTAAGAATAAACTGCACCTTGTTAGTGCCACGGAAGAGGATTAGATAATTGGTTCATGCAAATTCTTACTCAACAAGTTCAAAGCTGCCCTTATGAGCTGCAGCCGAAAGTGGATTACCATACAGAGAGTCTTCGTGTCCTTGAAAAATGGCACCATTTTCTAGCAAAAGTTTGACAACCTCAACCCTGCCCTCGCTCGACGCACTCTGCAGAGCATCTCCCTTGATGCTACTCGTTGCATTGACTTGTGCGCCAGCGTTTAACAAAAATTGAACCATATCTTTCATTCCAGCCCTAGCAGCTGTGTGCAATGCATTGGCGCCTACAGAGTTTCCATTTATGTCAGCGCCATTTTCGAGTAAAAATTTCAAGACTTCCTTATGCCCTTTTCTAGCGGCCAGATCCAGAGGGGTATTGTAGTCATCATCTGGTTGGCTTATAGATGCATTCGCGCCGGCTTCTATGAGTATCCGAACTATTTCGATATGTCCGTTAGCGGCAGCATAGTGCATCGCTGTTGTATTCCATGAGTTAGAAGCCATCGCGGAAACGCCCCTTTCGAGAAGAGTTTTACTAGGGCCCTGTAGATTGACGGCAGCGAAGATGTGCAGTAACCTCACTTCGTCCGGGGCATCATGTCCGAAATAGTTTGATTCAGGAGGTGCATGAGAGAAGTTGAGCCATCTTTTCAGTAAACCGTAAGTCTCAATATCCTGAAGAATGCCATCTTGTAATATGCCCCGTCTCTCAGCAGCCTCTGCATGTTTCAACCATGACTCATGAGCGTAAATTCCAAAAGCGTATGTATTGTATTGTGCGTCTAATTCATCGGGCGACAAATCTCCATATGTTCCTTGCTGAGTAAGTTCTCCTGATTTGAAATAATTTGTGCAAGCCCTTGCCAATCTATCATGAAGACTTCCTACGATCTCATCGTCGGAAAGCTTCATTGCATGCTGCAACAACCTCCCAGGGTTGGATTCTTCCACGGAAGCTAACAGGAACTTCAGACCGTCAGAGATCATGAAGTCAACCACAGTTTGGTGGATAAATTGTACCATGTACTGGCCGGAGGTGTAGAGAACTACTTCGACAAGCCCACCGGACAGACTTTTTGTCAGAATCTTCATTCTAGCATCGGTTTCGACAAATTCTTCGCGTTCTCGGCAACTTAATTGCCCACGTTGAAGCGGTTCATCCAATGCCAACGCAAAGCGAAGCTCGATTAAATTCAGGGGCCGGAATGCTAGTGAAATCCACTGCATCAACAACAATGTCTTGGATCGATATTTAGCTTTAATGACATTAGCGAGAATATCTTTGTAGACACGTCCTAAATCATTTGGTACCTTCTCCAGCATAACACGGATGTCATTCAAGCTCGCTCCTTCGTTCAATTCATAGGCGACTTTTGGAACGACAAGCTTCACCCATTGAAAAACTCCTTCTGACTGCTTGACAATCGCCTTTTCCATATTCTTCCTACCTTGGATCGCGGCCGGATCCCCGTCCCAAAGCAAGACTCTGGAATTCAATTCGTCATGAACATAATCTCGGATATCTTGGCTGTTACCATTCTCAACGAGAACTTCAAAGCCCTCACTCAAGGTGACATTGGGATAGTGCCGACAAGAAACGCAAATTCTCAAGGATCCACCATCTTCATCTTGGGACACTCTCTTCTTCATGTCATCAAAATAATCAATCAGTATCCTCGCATTGTCGTCGCCAGCTTCATCAAGTGCGTCAACAAACAACGTAACCGGCCTTGATTGCGCAATCCAAACGATTGAATTGAATAACCATGTTTTCAATTCCTCTTCAGTCCAAAGACAAACACTCTCTATTTGTCTCGACGCGTTCTTTTCGGCAAAGGACTTTCGGAGTTGCTCGCGGATAGGTGACGCTTGAGAGTAAAGTTGGTACAACAATTGCCTATACATTCCTTCGGGCCCCTTTTGGAGAGGGGCACCACGACCGTGGAAGAAGAAATTCAGTACCAGAAGGCGAGAATCGCGATTGCGGAAATTTGACAGTATATATGCCATAAGTGTGGATTTTCCTGCACCTGGTTTGCCTTTGATCCACATTAGACTGCGTTGTGTGTCTTTCCATCGAAGATAGGAAGGATCTTGGGAGATCCAGGTACAGGTACCTGGGTAGGCGTTGTTTGCATTGCGACGTCTTTGCTCCATTTCTGGGTAGTATATGGAGGATAATACAGCTGTATATATATGTTAGATTGAGGCTTCATACGGATTTGAGCTCCTTACATTCGTCCTCAGGGGTGAGATCATCTTCAACCACTATAAATTAGACGTCAGCATTTACATCGCCGTTTGCTTTCTTGCGCAGAACCTACAGCTGCTAGCTTCATCCGCATATACTTTCAGAATACCCCAGACCGACTTGTATGAACTACTTTCCGGTCCACTAAATCTGCAGATATTTCGATGGTCACAGCCATGCATTTTTACCACCCGCTCATCTGGAATGTGTAACTGCGCACTCTCTTCGTCAACCACAAGCCCCTTTAATCCCGAGCAGATATCCATTTCTAGGAAACTGGCAACTCGAATCCCATCATATAGCTTCAATCTCTTGAATTCGTCCTGTGTTTCTATCAAGACTGACGACCCTCGCGAAAGAGGCGTAATTAATTCATCTCTCACACGACCACTGAATCTCATTGGAAGGGCGAGAAGCCCATTGGCAAATTTCGAGATCAATAGAGGTAGCTTAGTTTCGTCAGAGCCCATATGCGGAGTGGCAAGGAAGAGAATGGCGGATGTGAGCTCAAATATGTTCCTGTAAAGCTTGATGTTGAAGGCTCTGATGAGCGCCTTCTTCACAACGATACCTCCCATACTATGACATATGAAAATGATTCGACGCTTTCGATGTTTATCATTGCTTCTCTCCCTCAACAAATCCTCCAACAGAGCTGTAGCGAAATCTTCTATCGTACCCGTCCCTCGACTAAACAGTACATTCGCATCATACCCAAATGTGAATATTCTGGCACCTGGTAACTCATTGGGCAACTGATCCCTTAACCACAGGTTTTTGACACCATCTTCGTTCTTCTCAGTCCATGTTCTGAATGCATCGCCTTTTATGCCATGCAGTGCCACGATATCAATTCTATAAGGCGACTCTCCATTCTTTGGAAGTACAGGAATTGGATTCAAGTGGAAGAGCCCAAACCTTTCAGAGAGCTCCGTGTCTATTGGCACTACAGTTGTGGCAGATTTCGAGCGAGATTTCCATAAATTTCCTCGCGCCATTAGCTCTTCGCTTGGAGGGGGAGTATAGATTTTAATTGCAAATTGCAGACGACGGCCAATGAACAATTTTGCAGTTTGATTGAAAGAGCTATATAGACAAGAATATTACAATAATAAAAATAGAGGAAAAACGAACGATCAAAGCGAAAGAAGATACTACACCCATATACAAATAGCATAGCTATGATGCTTGCACGCTTACTTCTGCCCTACCATTGGAACAGGGCTTAGAGAATTTCGCAGACGCAACTTGCGCCCGCTTAGTATATAGAAACCCTTGATCGAATATGCATGTCTGTGTTTCGGAGTAATTTCATCCCTGGTATCAATTTGTTCATTGGATGGCAAGAATACAATGTAACCGTTCTTCAGCGCTGAACCATAGTATTGGGAGAATGTATTCTCGAGTGTGGTTTAGCGGACAGAAGTAAATGGTTGGGCGCTTATCTTTGTCAACAACTTTGACCAATTGACTGGAGTGAAAGATTCCCCGCTTTCCCTCTGACACTTCACATTTATCAATCATAGGAACTTCTTTGGGTACCAGTAGCTAGCAATACGAAGGGTTGGAGTTCAAGGCGCGACAGATATACTCCGTGAACACCTGAAATTCTATGATCACCTGCTGTTCAAGGCCAAACGCGATGACATGCTGCACGCTTGTGCATTGTACTGAACCTCTAGATTCGGAGAGAACATATGTATCAAAGAAGAGGTTGACGATGAATGAAGTAAATAGCAATTCTCATTCATAATATCAATATCAAATGTTGACTAGAAGGTGTTTGGACATCATGTTGTGCCTCCGAAAGCCTGGTGTCCACATGCCATTCAGCTAAAATGACGCTAACACCATTCAGTCGACCGCCTAAATGGCAGAATTTTGATTTTTGTTCCCAATACAATTTGTTGCGTACAATACGAGTAGTAGGGACGACACATGCGATCATTTTTTGCTTCAGTCAATTGCTTCAGAAGAAGTCGCATTGGACTACAGAGTGGGAGTATTCGACAACTAAAAAATCACAGATTTTTTTCAGCCTCAATCATGGAATCCACTCTTCCTGATATATCAGTTGCCCCCGCTGCCGATCAGCATATTCTTCACGATGGGAAAGAATATACTACAGTCAAAGAAGGTCTCGCACATATTCTGATACCCGCAGAAGGTTCCAAAGTACCACAGACGACTCCTAAAGGTCAAAATCAAGTACAGTCTGTTTTCTACAATCCAATTCAACAATTCAATCGAGATTTGAGCGTCCTGGCGATTAAAGCATACGGAGAAAGCATATTGGAAAAGAAGAAGAAAATAATCGAGCGCGATAGACAGAAGAATGCTGCTAAAAAGGAGAAGAAAAGAAAGAGGGCTGCTGAGGAAGGGCACGATGGACCGAGGAAGGCTGGCAAACTTGAGAATACAGGAGAGACCGTAGAACTCCCAATGGCCGTCGCAAAATCCGAGGATACCAGTAACGACATGGAGACAGAGACTAAAGAAGAGGCACCAAATGGTCAAAATGAAGAAATGAAGTCCACTGTCCCAGCGGCCAACGGCGATTTACAAAACCATGTAACGACTGAGGCAGCCGAAGGACCAGAAACTAAAAATGAAAAAGAAGCCACAAAACCCACGAATCCTATCAATCCGAGGTTCCAAATTCTCGATGCCTTATCTGCGACTGGACTTAGAGCTCTTAGATATGCTCAGGAAATTCCTTTTGCAACATCAATCACTGCGAATGATCTCTTGCCCGCAGCTACGAAAACGATCGAACTCAATGTGAAGCATAATAAGCTGGAAAACAAGATCAAAGCTGTGACCGGCAACGCATTGACACACATGTATAGTCTTGTAGGTGATGATTGCAAAGATGGAAGTGGCAGCAGGAAATACGATGTAATCGATTTAGATCCTTATGGCACAGCAGCTCCGTTTTTGGACGCAGCGGTACAAGCAGTTAGAGATGACGGAGGGCTTTTGTGTGTTACATGTACTGATGCCGGTGTATGGGCTTCAAATGGGTATCCTGAAAAGGCATATTCTCTCTATGGGGGAACTACAGTGAAGGGCCAGCATAGCCATGAGGGTGGTCTGAGACTTATTTTGCATTCAATTGCTACATCCGCCGCTCGATACGGTCTCGCAATGGAACCACTTCTGTCTCTTTCGATCGATTTTTACGCCCGAGTATTTGTTAGAATATACAAGTCTCCTTCCGACGTCAAATTTCTGGCAGGCAAAACTATGATGGTTTATAACTGTGATACTGGTTGTGGGGCATGGACGACTCAAATGGTTGGAAAGAACAAGCTTGCACCCAATAAAAATGGCAATGGCCATTTCTGGAAACATGTTTACTCCATGGGACCATCAGCAGGCGAAAACTGCGCCCATTGTGGTATGAGAACTCACCTCGCTGGACCTATGTACGGTGGTCCGCTCCATCAACCCGAATTTGTCCAGAGAATTCTAGACGGTCTTCCCAACGTTTCCAAAGATACATATCATACAACAGCTAGGATCGAAGGTATGCTCACATTGGCCCTCGAAGAAAATTTGCCTTCTTTAGAGGATATGTCGGACTCCCCAACTGCCTCTTCAAAGACTGGCAAAAATGATCCTGCAGCCATTGACCACTATCCGTTCTTCTTTATACCATCAATGCTCGCCAAAGTAATTCATTGCGTGACTCCCCATGAGAATGCACTCCGAGGAGCTTTACGACATCTCGGTTATAGAGTTACTAGAAGTCATACGAAGGGTGGTAGTATCAAAACCGATGCTCCTTGGGATGTTATATGGGAGATTATGAGAGAGTGGGCACGACAGAAATTCCCACCAAAAGAGGGTGTTATCAAGAAGAATACCGCTGGCTGGTATATAATGGGCTTAGACAAAAAGGCTCCGACGACTCAGCAGGGAACTCTCAAGGATGAGGCTAGTAGTGGTGATGCCGATGGGAAAGATACGCCACCTACCGGAAAAAAGAAGCTCGAAGTAGTTTTTGACGAAGAGCTGGGAATGGAGAAAGACACAAAAAAGATAGTGAGATACCAAGTCAACCCCCGGGAGAATTGGGGCCCAATGAACCGGGCTAGTGGCCACGCATAATGTTCATTCTATGCTCTAATATACCCTATCTAACGAATTTTATATCATTCAATAATTGGTTTCTTTTGTCGGTGATGATTACCAGTACCTGGTTGGTTACGACGTTGACCCTTCCGACAACTAATCACCCCAGAAAACACCACAGTTGAACACGTTTTTTTGTTCAACTTGAATCTATTCTCTACGTAATTTGAACATTTTTCGCCCAAATCGCTTTAAACAACTTGGACTTTTTGCTTCTTCCTCTTGCGTTTCGGGTTCATAATCTTCCCAGGGCAGTTGCCTCAAACTTTGCCTAACAGGCGCTGATTGCCTGTCTTGAGGCGATACACAGAGCTTTAGTATTACTTCTTCATCTTGCCCTATGACGACCTTCTTCTCCAGATATTCCGCACATACACTCCTAGATACCAGGAAGATCCAACCTTTCGGTGGATATAAATCGGCCACTGTTCCTTTCGGTACAAATACTGTGAGTTCTCCCGTACTACTTGGTTCATGTATGTGAATGGCCACGGAAATTTCTCCAGCTGACGTTGAAAGTCGGTAATCCACGAACGTGAGACCTACAAGTACTGGGTGTACTTTCCAATGAGACCAACCAGGACTCAATGGTTCAACTCCCGCTAGATACTGCGGAAGAATAAATACTGGCCAGGTAGACCGTGCTTGCATCATGGATGTCATGGATGAAGTTGGCTGGCCGTCTGGTTTAATCTCTTTCCAATGTCCTCCTGAGTATTCCAAACTTTCTGGATCTGCCATCGGACCCCATACACTCTCAATTAATTCCACCGCGTCATGTCCCTTACCAGCCTGAAACAATGCTTCTGCTGCCATTCCACAAGTATAAGGACTCACGATCTTTACCTCTTTTCTGTCTTCTGTATCTCGAATTACTCGTGGAAGTTCTCCACTGCTTGAAAGTCCCAAGTGCTCGTCTGACCTTTCGATATGAGGTATGACACCGAGAATTCTCCCATATGAGTTAACTTCATGTGATACTGTTGTTGGTGGGATGCGATCACTTAATCGCAGAACACCTGTTTCTGAATGCCAAAAATTCTTCAAAATGTTGGCTTTGAGTGTATTGGCACGAGGTGTGTATTCATCTTCTATCCCGAAAATGCCACACATCTTACTCATTGAAACCAGAGCGTCATAGTATGCAAGATTTGCTTTGGACGTAGCGCCTATGAGTATACTGGATGACATAACATCTCCTGTTTAATCGTCAGAACCTATTTATGACATCGAGATGTAAAATACTTACTTGACATATTAGGCGGTGCCACGATTAATCCTCGTCTATCTTCATACATCATTGCGAAATTCATTGATTTCTCCATTTTGTCCCATATCCTCTCCACAATAGAGAAATCTCCTGAGTACATCCAATAATCCTTAACAGCTACCAGCAGTTGAAAACTGAGAGTGAGGGAGAAAAAAGCATATGTAGGAGGCTCACTTCGTTCATTTTCAAAGAAAGTTTTTTGTATTGGACTTACGTTCCCGAGATATCCGTCAGCCTCCTGGTGACTAGAAAGCAACGATAGACTCCCCAAGACCGCTTCCAAATGCCCCGTTGAATGGTAAATAGAGCGACCCATGACGAACAAATCACCAGCAGAACATATGCGATGACCTTTTGCACTATCGACTGTGCATGGTATCTGATTTGTTCCGACTTGGAAATCCGCCAACACGCGGACTCTGTTAGGGAGTCTCATGTCATTTTCATAAAGTATGTCGTCATTAACGTCTCTTACGACCAGCGATCGATAGATTGCGAGGTAATGTTCGGGACCACCGAATGCGACTGAACCAGTATTTGGCTCGCCTCCGGGCGATGAATTGATGTTCAGTCTCTTGAGATGCGCGACTC